GGAACCTTCTTGCTGGGCCCAACTGTCCAGGTGGACCTTGGTCCTTGCACCCAAGGGCCAGCCAGCCCAGCGTGGCCACAGTTGGTCTGGGCTGGATGAGAGCTGCTGGTGGCAGCAGAGGTAAACTTGAGGCCAGCGATAGCTGGTGACCTCCTCAGTCCTTCTGCAGGGGCCATCAGCCTGAGCCTGCTGGATAGAGTTCCCAAGCACAGGACCAGACAGGAGAGCATCCCAATGAACCAGACTCTTGTCATTTTCTGTCACTGTGAGCCCAGCCTATGGTCCTGGAGAAGCTTTATTTCTCATAGCACTTGCTGAGGCTGACGGAGAGAGCACCAGCATGGGTCCCTGCATCCCTGTACCTTCACAGACGGCGACAAGAGACCTTGGACTTGCTCCATTGCCAAGTCCTCTACTCATTTCTCTTTCCTTTCCCTCTACGGATAGCATCTGTGTTTAGCCTCTCAGGGCTGCTCTTACCAGGAACCACAAACTCAGTGACTCAGAACATGCCAGTTTCTGGAGGCCTGAAGTCCAAAGTCAGTTCCACTACCTAGAGTCAAGGTGTCAGCAGATCTGGCTCCGCCTGTAGAGTTTGTCTTCTAGCTTCTGGAGGCTTCTGTGCTCCACTGCTTGTGACCCTTTCTGACTCCTCCAGCTGCTGAGCTTCCACAGAGAGATACAGCCTGTCTCTGATCCCATCTCTATCTGTTTGCTTTATATTTCTAATGTAGCTCAGGCTGCCCTCAAACTCACCTTGTAGAGGAGGACAAAGATGACCTTGAACTTCTGACCTTCCTGGTCTTACTTCCTTGTGTTCTGGCTTCACAGTTTTGGGACATGCCACCTGGCTTTCTGCCTGCCTCTCTTGATTGCTTTTAGGGCCTGCCTAGACAATCTCCCCATCTCAAAGTCAGCAGCTCGATCACACCTAGAAATTCCCTTCAGCACATCAAGTGCAACAGGTTCTGGGGAGGGCAAGCTTCCAGTCAGCTGCCTGAAGTGCTCTCCCCACACAGGGTCCCCACAGTGTGTAACCACATACAAGAGCCCTAGCACTCAGGAGGCTGTAAAGCATCTATGAGGCCAGCAGAGCTACACACTGAGCTCCAGAGTCGCCTGGAATACAGGCAGGTCCTGTCTCAAAACACAAACAAAAAGGTGTTCATTCCCTGGTACCACCAAGCACGCCCACCCCCCGGAAACCCTTCCTATTGGGTTAAAAACAGCAGAAGTGATGCCCTGGGAACATGGCACACTGGAAAACCAGACAACTGTTGTGAAGGGTGAGAAAAGAGTTTAAACCTAGAATAGTTTCCATGGAGAATACACATTCATTGTTCACCTAATCCCAAAGAAAGTGTAAGGGTGGGAGGTGGCTCTGTGGTTGTGAACACAGACTGCTCTTACAGAAGACCCAGGGTCCATTTTCAGCCCCCATGTCAGGCGGCTGGCAGTGGCCTCCAAGTCCAGCTCCTGGGGTAGCTGATGCTTCTTGCCTCCATATGCATGTGTGCATGCACACACACACACACACTTGCACAAGCACTTGCACACGGGCACAATACTTTAAAACAATTCTTCAAAATGTTTTTAAATGGAAATTTGACAAAAACAGGAAAATTAGACTCCTCCCTGGGGGCTCCCTCTCTGACTACCATGAGGAAGACATCTTGTTCTCAGGATTCTTATGCCTACTTCCTGTGTCCTTGACTCAATGCTGAGAGTCATAATGTCTTAGTCAGGGTTTTATTGCTGTGATAAAACACCATGACCAAAAAACAAGTTGGGGAAGAAAGGGTTCGTTTGGCTTACACTTTCTGTCTATCACTGGAGGAAGTCAGGACAAGAACTCACACAGGACAGGAATCTGGAGACAGAAGCTGATGCGGAGGCCATGAAGGGTGCTACTTACTGGCTTGATTCTCATAGTTTGCTCACCCTGCTTTCTTATAGAACCCAGGACCACCAGCCCAGGGATGGTACCACCCACAATGGGCTGGGCCCTCCCCCATGGATCACTAATTGAGAAAATGCCTTACAGCGGGATCTCATGAAGGCATTTCCTCAAGGGAGGCCCCTTTCTCTGTGATAACTCCAGCTTGTGTCAAGTTGACACACAAAGCCAGCCAGGACACACAGGGACATTATTCTGAGGCAGATGACGTCACTGATTATATACAAGCCTGTATCATTTTCCAAACACTTCTGGACCCCAACCTCACCAACCTCACAGATAGTTACTGATGCCAGTTCCCCAGAGGAATGAGACTTGCCCAAAGTTGCAATCACGAGAGGACAGAGGCCCCAACTCTGGCCTCCGCTCAGCCAAGACCATGGGGGAAACTGGGCAACATGGTACACATCTGTATTCCCAGCCCTTAGGAGGCTGCAGGTCACAAGTTTGAGGTCAGCCCGGGTTATCTGTCAGGTTCCAGCCCAGCCTGGGCTACAGAGACCTTTCTCAAAAGCAGACCATAAGACTTGGACATGACACAGACTAGGCACTGCTCCCCATATCAGCTCTGGCCCCTATGAAATATGATTTTTCTTACTCATCTCCAAATGCTTAAATGCTAAAGCTATTGTCTATTTGGACAATGAAGATGACTTAACCAAACCTGGAATTGGCCACAAGGGGGCAGCCCCAAGTTCCTTCCATCTCCTGAAGGCTTTGTAGGCTCTCTAGTGCCTCCTGGTGGCTGTGGGAAGCAGGCTAGAAGGAAGAAGAAAGGATGCTAGGCCTAGTTGAGTGTGGCTTCAGTCCTTCTCCATCGAAGTCATAGGAAGCCAATCTGGCTAGCACAGTCCTTTGGGTTTCATCACCAGCCAGCCAGTGCAGTCTTCTCCCCCCTACAGCAACCTCTGGGGAAACCCCTCAGGATCACTCCTTTGATTCCCTGGCTCCACCAGCCCTACCGCTCTCTGTGGAATTTCGAGGCAGAAGACATGAACATCATGTCTGTGGAGATGAGGAGTGTATGTCTCACAGCTGGGACACAAACTACCTGCCTCACCTCCTAACTCAGATGACCTCAAGGGGGAGCCAAGGCTAGACACAACTGATCCAGTGCAGGAGCAGCAAGAGCACAGGCAACGGGCAGCGGGATTCCCCAGGCTCCGGTGTCCTGTGGGAAGGGGGCATCTCTCCCAGCTGCTTCCCTGGGGAAACCGGGATTGAGAAGTTTGTCAGCCTCCTCGAGGAGGCACCAGGGAACAACAGTAGATGGAACCTTGAGGAGGGGACATGGGAGGCCGGGCAGGGCTGCTGCTGTTCAGGCTCCCATTCCCTGCCTGTAACAGCAGGATCTCCTGCAACTGCAACCTCACAACGATTCTGGCAGGGGAAGCAAATCAGGACAGTCTGGAGCTAAGCGACCTCAGGCAGGGGTGAGTGCTTTGAGAACAGGCTCTGGGGAGGCAGCTGCAGTGAGACAGCTAATTTTAATGAGAGGGTGCCATTTAATCCTTTGTGGAGTGAGTAGGGACTATTGGAGTGTGTGTGCATCATGGGTGGGGCCAGGGTGTAGGGATACTGCATCTGCAGAAGGATGAAATTAGAAGTGCTGCTGGACATGACCTTAAGGGGAGAAGTTTAAGGTGCTACATGACCTCCTCCAAGGGGACAAAGATGGGGGTGCAGGCTTTGGGCTGGGACATGCAGGCTTGGGGGTTAGATATGCCCTGCCCACTCTTGCTCCTCTGTCCCTCCCCCACCATCCCATGGCTTTTTGACCCCATAGGATGCAGGGATGAAGAGATAAAGGCAGGCTGGAGAGATGGCTCAGTGGTTAAGAGCACTGACTGCACTTCCAGAGGTCCTGAGTTCAAATCCCAGCAAGCACATGGTGGCTCACAACCATCTGTAATGAGATTTGATGCCCTCTTTTGGTGTGTCTGAAGACAGCTACAGTGTACTCATATATAATAAATAAATAAATCTTAAAAAAAAAAAGATAAAGGCTGGGTGGCTCACTGCCATCTTAGCTCCAGTTTCAGGGGATCCAGTGGCCTCTTCTGACCTCCAGACACCAGGCATGCACATGGTGCACAGACATGCATGCAAGCAAAACATTTGTACACATTAAAAAAAACAAAACAAGAGCCTACACTGTCCCAGCCTGGGTTGGCCACAGGCTGCCTGAAGGACCCTCAGCAGTATCTCTGGGGCCCAGCACTGTCGGGTTTGGCGTCCTAATGTGCACTTGACCTGCACCTATTCCCCAACCTCCTCATCCCATGGTATCCTTGTTAAAGATTTACTTTATGTGTGTACACTGTCTTTCTTCAGACAGACCAGAAGAGGGCATCAGATCCCATTACAGATGGTTGTGAGCCACCATGTGGTTGCTCAGAATTGAACTCAGGACCTCTGGAAGAGCAGTCAGGACTCTTACCCACTGAGCCATCTCTCCAGCCCCCTCGTTGGTTTTTGTATTTGTGTATTGCTGGCTTTGTATTTTGAGGCCAGCCTCAAGCTCACTACGTATGAAGGTTAACTTAGAACTTCTGATCTTCCTGCCTCCTGCAGAGATTACTGGTGCGCATTACCACACTGTGCTTAAATGACAGCCCAGGTAGAAACCAGGGCTTTCTCTGTGCTGAGAAAGCACACTACCCAGTGAGCTACAACTCCAGACTCACTCTGTCTTTGGGAAACAGGGTCTCACGCTGCAGCCCCAGACCAAACTCCAGCTATCCCCACCTCAGGTTGTGGGGTTACAAGCGTGCACCATACCTCATTTCCCTCGACTTTGTCAGATGCAGGACTATCAATGTACCCATCTGATAGATGGAGGCTTGGAGAGGAACATCACTGCCCAGAGCACCATGTTCAGAGAGGAACATATGCAAACTAACCCTGTGTCCAATTCCTGGGGATGTTCAGTGGGCACCAATTGTGCGGCAGAGGCACCAGAGGTAACACAGCCTGTCCTGGCTTTCCTTGACTGACAGCCCCAGCAGCACCCACCCCACAGAGCAGACCTCAGAACAGCGGATGCCAGAGGGAAGCAGTAGGGGTCTCCTTTATTACAAATACAACAGTCCCAGGGCACTTGGGGAGAGCTGGACCAGGAGGCACGTGGCCAGGGCTTGTCCAGGGCAGGACCCGCTCTGATCCCTGTCAACAAGGGATTGAGCCCTAGTAGAGTTGAAAAGAAGTCCCTGTCAAGAGACCAGGTCTCTGGAACTGGGGTTGGAGGGTAGTCTTCTGTGACCCCAGACCCTTTACCCTCAGAATAGCTGTAAGTTTGGGCCTTGTCCACAGCGTCAAGGGCCCTAGAAATGTCCAGTATCAGAAGTAGAGAACGGGGAACTAGGTAGACCAGAGACAAAACGACTCTGTCCCCTATGAGCATAGCCAGGGGCGGTCCAGGTCTTGTGCCCCAGGCAACTAGTCCTTGCAGCTAGGGGGGACGCAATGCACTGAGGGGGTTTCTTCAATGGCCCGCTCCATCCGCAGGTACCAGGGCTGGATGTGTGAGTGTTGCATCAGGTCGTCAAAGGCCTCCAGACCCTCCATCACTCGCAGCACGCCATACACTGCCTAGGGAGGGTCAAGGATCAGTCATTGCACTGGGGCCATGGCCTGCTGAGACCTCAGACGGGGCACCCACACTGCCTGCTTGCTGCCAGTTGTGTAGGGTTTTAAAGAGGAGATATCTCAGCATCTGGTCAGACCAAGGCTACCTGGTTGGTTACCGGACTGCCAGGGATAGGGCAGGGCCTAAGGCCAGTCAGTGAGTCAGTGAGACTTGCAGGTAAACGCCTGGAGCCCAAGCATGCTGCAACTGAGCTAGGAAACCAGACAGGGAGGCTAGGCCCTGCCACTCCAACCTAGGTCCCTGGATCCTGCCCAGCCGGAAACTGTCCCCTTCCTTAGCCTTATAGGTATAGGAACCACGAAAGCTGTTTGCCTTTGCTTTTCCCCCTGACAACACAACACACCACACACACACACACACACACACACACACACACACACACACACACACACAGAGAGAGAGAGAGAGAGAGAGAGAGAGAGAGAGAGAGAGAGAGAGA